GTCCCTAGCATCCTTCTGGCCAGTCCCAATGAAAATCTTCACATCTCAACTTCTAGTTTGACCTGTATTTTGGTAGTTCCACTGTCTCCATATGTGTATACATCATAGCAAGTCTCTCCTTCCAGGAGAGCTATATCACTTAACTGCTCCACTATGAAACCCAAACATTTTTCTCACGTTTAATCTTTTGTTTCTAATGTACGACAGATGTGTTTTTCAGAGGATTACTGTCAAGCACATTCATTTACCTTCATCTTACTTCTGTGAAATGGTATGAGCTATTTTGATTTGATTTGACAAAGCATTTCCCAGGCTTTGTTAGTGAGGAAGACTATGGCCTTGTCCTGTGTGTCATGCTCACATGCGCTCTTGTTTCCTTTAGTTTTGAGGTTGATGTGCTTTCCTTTTTTTAAACGGAATAGACTTTGGACAACAGTCATTTGTTGGGTTCTTATAAAAACTGATCCTCAGCCAGCATATAAAAAAAGAAAAAATCTAGTGTTATGCTTTTTCTTCTGTCAAGACTGACAATGGTTTTGGAACAAAATATGAAGTGCAAAAGTTCGCACGTGCAGTAGTGACCTGAGGGTGGTATTGAGGTTCCTCCCAACAGGTCCTTGGCACTAAGCTAAGAGTGAAACCACTTAATATGTAGCTGCAGTTATAATCCACAACAGTCTAAGGCAGTTAAGATTTCAATGGCTTGTTCAATTAAACGATATAAAACTGTATTTATACAGCGCCAATTCACAACAGCAGTCTCCTCAAAGCGCTTCATATTATAAGGTAAAGATCTTCTAATAATACAGAGAAACCCCAACAATCAGATGACCCCTATGAGCGAACAGTTTGGCGACAGTGGGAAGGAAAAACTCACTTTTAACAGGAAGAAACCTCTGGCAGAACCAGGCTTAGGGAGGGGCGGGGCCACATTTTGGCTACATTCACTCTGCAGGTCTTAATGCTCAATTCCGATTTTTTGATCAAATCCGATTTTTTTGTCTGCTCGTTCACACTACAAATAAAATGCGACAGCAAACGCGCTCTAGTGTGAACGCTCAAAGCGGCCGCATGCGCAAAAGAAGACGACACACACAACGCGCTCTGTTTAGACCCAGAGCAAACAGTATTGTTTGACAGATGGACCTTAATATAAAGACTTTGGACTTTACGTTTCCCAATTTTTGCTTTAAGTTATTTTGTTATTTACATAAGAATGTAAATAACCTAATAATTATCCTTATTGCTGTTTTAGAGGAGCGGTGCTTCAAAGGATAGTTGCAGGTTTCTGTCAGAATCTGCAGATTATACAGTACAAATAAAATGTTCACGTTTCTCCAACGTTGTCTTCCCAACAGTTTCACTGACATCTACACGGGATGGCCAGGAAGCTTCGCGATGTCTTCTCTGGAGCTGATAATTGGCGTCTGTCTTGTGTTGGTGACGTAAAAGACGGATTTAATGCAACCTGACCGTTCAAACAGCAGTCACTTTCTGAAACATCGGATATGTATCGGATTCAGTATCACATACGAAAGTGACCCAGATCGGATTTGAAAATATCGGATTTGTGCCGTTCACACTGTCATACCATGATCGGATATGGGTCGCATAGGGTCAAAAAAATCTGATTTGATGCGCTTTCGCCTGCAGTGTGAACGTAGCCTTTGTCTGGTCAGCAGGGAGGACCTGTATGTTACCCACAGTCACAGCTGCTACTTCATTTTTGTACAGTGAGAGGAAGCAGTGACACATTATAACAATCATTATAGACAGTCTGTTTGATGCCATCAAAGCTCTTAAACTTCCTACTGAAAACAGAAATCTAAAAAAAAAGCTTTAAAATATATAGTTTTCCTTTTAGAGCTAATTTTATTCTTTTAGCCACCTCCTGAAATGTCAGCTGTGTGACATTTGCTTCTATCCAAACGCTGGTTGATATCTTTATTTTTTTCTGATGTAGGTGGGGTTCTCCTGTGTAACATGAAGCTGATCATAAACACGCAAGAAGCTTTGTTTCACAAACTGCAGTAAAACGCTGGGATATGCATTCTGAATGCTAATACTTCTAAAATGGGCTATTGGCTTAGTAGACATCTCTTCATTGGAATGAAAGATATCCATTTCAGTAAAGTAGTGCTAAGTTAAAATATCTAAATGGATTTTACTTCTATCAAATTAGGAATGTTGCCTCATTCAGACAAATAGCGAATAACCCGCATAAACATAAACACACTTGGTGATTTCACACATGGACCAGATGTTTCAGTCCACAGAAGTAAATGAATCTTAATTTGGATGTCTTTCAGTGAGTTTTAATAATGAGAGTGTGAAACATCACCAAGGTTCATTTAACTGTAATGTCTTTAACTGGATACATTATAGCCTGTATAAGCAATACTGTGAAATCACGTTCAGTGTCATTCAAGCCTGTTCTGTTTTCAGTTTGGTGTTTCCTGAACAGCAAAAGAAAAAAAAAGAAAACAACCTGCATTTTATTTTTTGACTGAAGTGTTACATCACACCCTTTGGTCTTGCCTGGTATTTAGTGAGTGGCATTAGAAATGTTTGGAAGCAGTTTAAACTTCAAAAAAGCTTCACATTACAGGGGCTGAAAGAATCAGTGGGTGTTCGTCGTGGGAGGATTTAGGTGTGATTCTACTACACATATTGCGCTTTTTAAGAAATGTTTTATTTTTCTTCTCTATGCAGTCTGCACGAGTGTGGAAATGTGTTTTTTGACCTGATAACATGTTTTGTTTGAACACACACACACACACACACAATAAAAGAAAGTAAAAAGGTTGACCCAGTACTGACTGCACACACGCAAACACAGTATTTATATATAAATATGTTTATGATTCATGCGAGCTTTGAAAATAGTTCCTATTTTCATTACTATACAAATTGACCACTTGTTACAAATTTTGCATTACTTTTTAATATATTGTAAATAAATGATGGGGATTGTTTTGGAACGGCTTCTAGAATGGTTGACTTGAAGTGTTTTGCTGCTGTGGGAGTATCTGATGCACCTACTTTTGTATCTTCGTGTGTTGTGAGATAGCAGTATGGATGCTATGGGTGGCTGCTTTTAATATTTATTTCACTGTGTGTAATTTAAGGGAACATCAGCCTGTTTCTTCTGCTGCTTCTTTTGGCTACTCCCTTTAGGCTTCGCCACAGTGGAGCATCTGCTACCATCTAACTGTGTCCCTAGCATCCTTCTGGCCAGTCCCAATGAAAATCTTAACATCTCAACTTCTAGTTTGACCTGTATTTTGGTAGTTCCACTGTCTCCATATGTCTATACATCATAGCAAGTCTCACTGCCATCATGTAAACCTTCACTGTCACTCTCACTGCTATCCTTCTGTCACAAATCAACACAGAAACTCGTCGCACTCACTTCACCGTGCCTGCACTCTCTTCTTGACCTCTCTTGTGCACTCTGTTGCTTTGGATGATTGACCCCAGGTATTTTAACTCCTCTATTTTATACTATCTCTCTCATTCACACACGTATTATGTCTTGCTTCTGTGGATCAGTCTCTGACTGGCCATTCAGATGGGTGACAAATAAAAGAAAAAACCTGAAACTTTAACTACTAAGGGCATCTGTTGACTCTGTTATGTTGTGGGAGGCATACCGCTGGCAATATTTGGGTCTACCTGTCTTTGTAGAGGTAAAGCAGTTCCTAGTTTATCCTTTACCATGTGAAACATTTCTCTTCTGCAGCTTTTACTTGACAGACAAGCACAACACAAAGTGAAACACAAAACTAAACAATAAGGGCAATAAAATAAAATACAATAGGAAAACCAGATAAAATCAATGGATCTCCACCAGGGGTCACTTAAAAATACTGACATGCATGAAAATGTTGTACACATATGCTGTGGTTTTCCTAACAATCAGATCTCAACCCAGCTGAACACCATTTGTCATCTTCAGCATTATAGAAGGGTTTACTATTTTCTCATTTGAATGTTGCTGTAGTTTTAATGCAAAAGTAAATTGAGGATGCAGTGAAACAAAGTCAATGTGCAGAAGTTGAGGAACCTCTACTCTGTAACATCATTGAGCCAGAGACTGATGCAGGAGCAATAAACATCCTGCAGTCTGTTAGAGTTCTTTGCATGCCATTTTTTTGTGTTCTGGTGCCT